CTTTTTTTGCCCCCCCCCCCCCCCCCCCAGCTACCATTGTAAGAAATTTGAGGGCTCTGTGATTCACATGGTTTGGTCATTTACAGTCATGACTCCCTTTTGGTTTCAAGTTATGGTATATGTTAACGTAGGCTTGGGAAGAATATGTAATTAAAGAAGTAAATGTATTGATGAATCATACAGCATTTACAAATAACCTTGGCTCTTTATAACAGCCTGGTACTTGGCAATAAAATATATTTTGTGTAGACATAAAGAAATGTATACATTTGACTTTAAGGCATCGATTCAAGATATTTGTTCTTCATCAATTTCTGGAATCTTTATATTAGAAAAAGGAGAAGTTGGAGCGACATGCTTCTATATGGCCAGGATTTAGTAATAAACTTAAAGACTGGATTTTCTATTGATATCTTATTGATAATCGTTTCTTTTTTCCTTAGTTTCTTTCTTCCCCTTAGGTTTAGTTTATTTTAGTCACTGTAATGGATATAGTTTCTCTAGTTACCATCACAAATGTATTATTCTTTTTGTTTGTTTCTTATACTTCATTATATAAAAATAATTAAAAGCTGAAAACAAAAACCAGCAATTGCTCCTGTTCTACAGGCATAATTTTTTCTATACGACTATACATTCCTGATGAGTATAAATACAATACTTTGTATTTATGTACATGAGTACAGTGAGTACACATACAATAAATCCTGCTTTCTTATGGGATCTGTTTTATAAAATTATATTTCTCAAGTCTGGAGCTTTAAAGAATCCTGAAATCTGAGTTATGTTAAGAAAAAAAGTTATGAAAAAATGATGCAAATCATATATATCATAAATATATGGTATTTTATTTGTTTATTATACTGATTCATGCAGTCGCTAATTTCACAGTCGCCACTCTGGGTGGCAAACGTATGAGTAAAAACAAGCAAAATGAAAATAATGAACAACATAAACAACAACATAATAACAACACAATGGTGTACTTACTCATCTGACAAAGTTTCTTTGCAATATTGTACTTCCGTTCCATTACTGCTTTCAGAAACTAGAAAGGATATTTTAAAACATACAAATTAAAAAATTTTTTTTTCTAAATTCATTTGAGTGTGTAACAAGTTTTATTATTTTTAATTGATTTCAAGTTTGTTTTAAATTTTATTTATGGCCATTCCTGGGCCTGAAGCAGTGAAAGCCATGAGCATATCTTGAATAAATAAAAAAATGAAACATTGCCCGCACAGACTATACTATAAGCATGTGACTAGTCAACAGTGATAATATGTAGCCTGTCTGTAAGATGATACTCATTATCTTATGCTCTTTATTCTTAATGTAAATATTGCTTTAAAGAATTACAGATGAACAGAATGACCTAATTTAAAAACTAAAGTGATACAGAAAGATTAGAGACACTGTGCTATTGCATATATCTTCTGCAGTCAGGAATGTTTAAACTACAATGTCCATATATGATGCAGCCCTAATATTCTCAGAAAGAGCTAAAAGCAAAGTGCTGACTCAGCCTTTAGGGTAGAAGATAGCATCAGAATGATATAGCACTACATATCTGCATTAGAGTGAATGTGTTACATTTTTATTGCAGGCAGATCACACTAACATTGTTGGGATGAAAAATATTTTTGCTTTTTATGCAGAATAAAACCATTTATCCTATATATCTCATAATTGTACTCATGCCCACTATGTTTTATTGATATAAAGTAGATTTTTACTGTATTTTTTTTAACATTCCTTTATAATGATGGGATTTTTAGTTATATATGGAAAAGTAAATCCTATTTTGAGAAACAGTAACCATACTGAGAAGTAAGAAGTTTACTTCCTTTGTGTGAAAGGCTAATTTTGCTTCAATGCTAGTTAGTTTAATATATTCTTGTACCTCTCCCATCAATTGTAGTGGTGCAATTCTCTTTTCAGTTTCATTGTCTGTTTGACCATTGGCATCTTCATCATCTGAACCATCTGGTGGTTTTTCATCAGCATTTTTTTTGTCCACACTATCCCTTTGTGGTTCAGTATAGACCTCACTGTTGACAGCCTTTTCAACAATCCTGGAATTTTTCATTTTTTCATCTAAACAAAATCCAAATATCCATGAAAAGGATAAGAGAAAGCTCTGGTAAGCAAACAGAGTTTTGAGGCTTTTGGAATTCTACACCAACGCTTTACAAATGTTAACACAAACAAAATCACATTGTGATTGGTCTGTATTTTTAATGTTTGTCATTAAATCGCCCTCTTTGTTAAATAGTAAATATATGTAAGGTGAATGATTTTGAGCGCCTGTGCAATAAAATGAACAGCTAGCGTTGAGGTACGATCCAATAAAATACATACATTCAGGTATCACTTAAGTCAATAAATAGCACATTCTTGTGTATTTGTTCTACCTTCTAAGGGGTGGAAGCATGAGAATCAGCCTGTTCTGTCTCATAACCACCCTGGACTTCATGCTTAGATTTGGATTAATATTTTTTCAAACCCAATTGCTGTAGCATAGACAATAACGGTTCTCTTAAAAAAACCAAGACAGCCAGATGAATTAAATGGTGAAAGCATTTTTCATGTGGGACAAGACTGATGCAATTAAGCTATTACCTTAGAACAAGATAACTCAAGAAAGACCTAATATGGTTGGAGGAGAATAAAACTCCCTCCCCCAGTAATAGAATAAGTTGCCCCAATGATTATGATTGCTACTATAGACAAGTCAAAAACCTTTAATTTATAGAATTCTGTGCCTCAGGGCTTAGCTCTAAAATGAGGATAAATTCATAGAAACTGGTCTACTGATGGAATTTCCTTCTTCAGAAACAGGATGCCACACTGAATACCAATGTGTGGAGAGCATCGGTGGGGGCGGGGGGGATTATTGGCTTCATACCCTATTTGTAGGCTTATCTGAAGTAGCTGGCTTGCCACTGAGGGAACTGGAATGCTGGAATTAAACTGACTCTGGCTCTGATGAAGGAGGACTTTCAAATATCCCGTATCCCTCTTATCATGAGGTTCACTTACTAGATTTTTTATAGTCCACTGCTCACTGCACTTCCATTAGAGTCGTCAGTCCTCACAGGATAGTTTTCCTGAGCTTAAAAATCTAGATCAATGTACCCTTCATTTAGTGAGGCTGAGTGAACTATGACATCACATGCAACTATGATACTGTAAATTAGCTCATAAAAAGGGAATAGGAAGAATTAGAAATATGTATGAACACAGAGCATATTAACTTCAGAAGTCAGAGTTACTTTCAAGGATTGAAAATTATGCAACTTTTGACAATTTTCCTATGAATTATTAATACTTAGAATACAATGATGTAATGATGTAGAAAAGATGGTGGCTTCTTTTGTCAGATTTTGGCTCACCCTCAGTCTTGTTGATGTATTTTCTCCCCATCCTTCAGATGGAAGAAAATATGTGACACTGAAAACTGCTGCTTTCCGCAGTTGTGTTTTTACCTAAGCTCTGCAAAACTAAGCCAAGGGTATTGCTGCCCTTCTTCACACACACCAGAAGTTCACACAAGAAATTCTCTCCGTTTTTCTGAAGGAAAATAGCATTTTCCTGCTGGATCACCTTGATCTAGCTTCAGCTTGAATCAGTAGTGGGCTAGCAATATGATGGCAGCTCTGTGACAAGGACATATTCTTCACAAATGCTAAGTGGGCAGTTCTAAAGGTGGGGCAAGGAGGACTCTTTCTTGGTAAAAGAAATTATTTTAGCTTGCAAGAGTTAGTCAATTCTTTGAACAAACAATTTTTATTGATTAAAAATGTAGACTTGATATCAATTGGCAGTATACATTACAAACCCACCATTTCATTCCCTTTTGGAATAAGCAATGCCATGAAAGGTTCAGGAAAAGAGTAAGTAGTAGAAAGCAAAAGAAATTAAAGGCAGGAGATAAGAGAAAAAAGAAAAAGAAATGCATCAAAATCTAGTTTAACCCACACCATTCATTATACTTCACAATGCCTTTCTATTCTTGCAAACCATCCTTGCTTCCACCACATCCATATTCAATCCATATATTGTCCTTTATCTATTAATTTGTCACTTCTCTCTTTTTGAGGATCTCATCAACTCCATTCTACTATGTCCTTCTCAGGATTCTCCTTCCTTTCAATCCATTTATTCTTCCTTCAGATACTGGTTTTGTGATTCACTCTACACTCACTCAGCACCAATTTGTTCTTGTTTTACCACTCATATTTAAGTAACACATTCCCACATCTTTTATATTTCTCCTGTCATACCCAACGTTCACTTCTGTATAACAAGGTGGGCAGAAGCATGCTCTTATATACAGCCATTTTTGCTTCTTTCAACAAACATTAATTCTTTCAACTCACCCATTACTCTTCTATCACAATTTGCATGTTTAAAGATATATCCACCCATTTCCTGTTTAAACATTTTAACATGGTGCACAAATCGAGTAGCTCTAATTGCTCATCATATGTGTAACTTGCAGTAATTCACTCTGTTTTGCCTGTCAAACGCAATCACCTTGGTCTTTGATAATTAATTTGAAATTTATATTCTTCATTGCATCATTCACTGCAATCTATCTCACATTTGCTGGAAAATCACTTGGGTTCTCAATAACATGGCATCATCTGCATGTAAAAGTACACACACGTTCATGTCTCCAACTAACACACTTTTAACATTAGCATGAACATTTCTTATACATTTATCCATAATACATTTATCCATAACTGCATCAATCACCCAAGGGACGTCATATACAGTGGTACCTCGGGTCATGAACTTAATTCGTTCCGCGACTCTGGTCGCGACCCAAATTGGTCGCGACCCGAATCAAATTTTCCCATAAAGTTCAATGTAAATACGATTAATCCATTCTGAACCATATGTATTTTTTTTTAAAACCACAAAAATATGAAACAAAGTACAGTACAGTACAGTCCCGAATCAAATTTTCCCATAAAGTTCAATGTAAATACGATTAATCCATTCTGAACCATATGTATTTTTTTTTAAAACCACAAAAATATGAAACAAAGTACAGTACAGTACAGTACGAAGAGAGAGAACGCTAACCTTGCTCGAGGCGACTTCTGGCGTGGAGGACAGGAAGGCAGGTAGGGAGGCAGTTATTGTTTGGAGGGAAAGTCCCCCTCCCTACAGGAACCCACGACCACATGTCAGAGCAGGGAAGATGGCCGCGGACCCTGTTCGTCACCCAATGCGGAGTTTGCGAACGGAAGCAAAAATTTGCGAATGGTGCTGTTTGTGAACTGAATTGTTCGTGAACAGAAGTGTTTGTGACCCGAGGTACCACTGTATTCTGGCCGGCCCATCCATCCATCCATCCATCCATCCATCCATCCATCCATCCATCCAATTTATATGGCTGCCCATTTCACAAAAAGCGACTCTGGGTGGCGTACAAGCATATACAGTTTTTACTGTGTTCAGCAAACAAACTTCCACTCCATTTCATGCAAAATATTCCACAAGTCTGTTCATTACATCATGCAAACATTTTTTACTTTTTAATCCAGATACTGATACAACTTCCAGGAGGCAGATGGTGTCTTAGAAAAGGCAATTCCTTGTCTATCTCAGTAGAGAAGAGGTCTGTCTTGTCTTTTCAGAGTTATGCTATCTCACTCTTATATCATACTACTGTTTAGCTATTTCAGCCTTGTGCTAAACCAATAACCCATAGAATTAAAGCAATTTCAGTGCTGCCAGCTGAGTAGTCTGGTTCAACTGCACAATTCTGCAGACTGCTACCTCCAGCTCTTTAGGGAGACAACAGCAGAAAGGTGGTAGCAGAGGCAGAGTGGAGGGGACGGGGAGTACCCATATCAGAATGAAACAGCTGAAAAGCCCTGCTCTGTCAGCACCCTATACTGGTCACATTACTTCCAAGCTAGTAGGTGGCAAAGCATAATGGCTGTTGCCACTGCCATCAGATTCATTCACTACACTAACACTGGTATAGCTAAGGATGACTTAATTCTGTCTCATCCATGGGCTGGAAACAAGATGAAGGCAACATCATAGGAGATATGGAAGAATAAGTGATTGCCAGGTGTGTTTGTACCATGGTTAGGTGAAAGGAGAAAGGCTCAGGGATAGCATGCTGTACATTAAGATTCCTTTCATTCAATTTTTTAAATTAACAAGAAAACTAGAAGCTAAGAATGCTTCCATCTATCTGCATTTGTTCTATTACAATAAGAACTAATATAATATAGCTGCTGTGGCAGAGGATAGGATCTCAGTATACAGACTCTGCTGTTAATGGTAAAGATTTTATTTCAATAAGAAGAACAGCAGCAGAAAAGGCATAATTAGAATACAGGTAGTCCTTGACGTATGACCATAATAGGGACCAGAAAATTAGTTGTTGAACAGTGAGGTTGTTAAGTTAGGCATCACGTGACCACACCCAATTTTACATTTTTAAGCAAATCACCATGGTTGTTAAGTGAACCCTGTAGTCATTAAGTGAATCATGCAGTTCCCCACTGACTTTGCTTGTCAGAAGCCAGCTGGGAAGGTCACAAATGGTGATCACATGACCCTGGGACACTGCAACTGTCATAGATACATGCTGGTTGCCAAGCGCCCAAATTCTGATCACACGACTATAGGGACACTGTGATAGTTGTAAATGTGAGAACCGGCCATCACTTTTTTCAGCACCATCATAACTTTGAATGGTTGCTAAAGAAATGGTTGTAAGTTGAGGACTACCTGTATTACCTTTCATTCCCCTTATGTTAACAGTATATTTCTTAAAGTTTATGCTATGTCCACAGTGTTCAGATCTAGCTGAGAAATACATATTAATGGCATATTTAACTTTCTAAAATCATGTTTTAAATTATAATTAATATGTAGTCACAAAAGTTGTAATGAGATATATTTAGTTTGAACAAACCATTGTCTTTCAGTTCTGTTTTAGCATCAGTTATCTTTATTTCATGATTCATAATCTGTAAACCAGTTTTTAATTGTTGATCATTAAGAATTTCTGGGAGGGGGAGAAAGAAAAATATGGGCTAGAAACAAGTTTAAGAAATATAGAATAATTAATACCAGATGTTGTAGTATGTAGTCAGCTCATAGAAAGCTTGCCTGAAATCTAACTAGGAGGCTTGTTTAATGCTAGTGATGAATGAAGAGGTTAGTTTTAGTTCAGTTAAAGCCAGGGTACACAGAGTAGCTCATGTGGATTTAAACTGCAGAAGTCAGAAGGGCTTTGATATTCTTCACAGGATCATCAATTTCTAATATCAGAGCAAAACAACATGAGATGCTGTTATTGGGTTGTGATCAGTGCAGTGATGGCAAGTCAAGTTAGGAATTCCGAAAAAGTGATTAAAAACAAAATATTATTGGTAAGAATCGCCAGTCAAATTTGAGAATCATTCTGCATATTTAGTGCTCAAATAGATACCACTTGATGAAGATAAAGAGGTTGCATGCATGCAAAACCATGCATGTCCAGGGCCATCATTTGTCTCCACTGACAATACCAAACTAGACAGACCAATAATTTGACATGGTAAAGGGCCAGAACAGTACACAGAAACTGAGGCTGTTCATGGTAGAAATGCATAGCTGAATTCTGGCTTCCAGGCTCCATCCCAACAACAGAGAACCATACACGTTATCTATAAAGTCCAAATGCAGACATAAATCTCACCTGCTTCTTCTTCAATGCAGTCATGCAGTCTTACATTCATCTTTAGATTTTTCTTTTTTGCAATTCTTGTTGCTAAAGCATTCCGTCTTAGTATTGGAATTTTTTCCCAAACAATAAAAAAGCATATATTTTTTATAAAAACAAACTTAAGCCAAGAGAATAAATACACTTTATGACAGATCTCAGGGTGATTTTTTTAAAAACAAATTTAAGTAATATTAAGTCAAAATTACTTAATATTTAGGGCCAAATTAGAATAATGTTAATTGCACATTTACATGTAACATGCACATTTAAAAAAATACAAATAGCATTTTCTGTGTATTTGGTGTCGTTTAATTCTGGCTAACAAAAAAGCTACTCAGATTAATGCTGCATTTACCTATCTGTCACTGAGGGTTGGTATCTGTCACAAATGATCTCAAACTATTATTGCACCATCATTACCTCTATCCTCACACCAATCGCCATAATGACCAGTACAATTATGGAGGCCTTTTCACATGATTACTGTGTTCTGCGCTTCTAGATGTCACAATGGGATCAGACACCATGGGGCAGCACCTCCCTCACGTACTTAAGATAAAAACTACCCTACAGTGTTTCAAGAGCAGGCTATTAGAACTTGTCAAGATCTACAACGTTGTACAGATGGATAACAGTTAACTATTAAAAAAGCTCGATGTCAGCAATTTGTTCTTGTAATAGAATTAATTAACAACTCAACTGAAGTGAGACTTACTTTTCTAATGATTTAGCTGTACATAATAAGATCTGCTTTGATGGAGTATAAGATCTGCTTGTAGATTCTTTTCCACATCCCATGCTACCTTGGTTAAAAGTAAAAAAAAAAAAAAAAAAAAGATCACTGCAGAAAGTTTAAATGTCAATTAAAAAAAAGGGATTCCCCTGAAACAAAATTTTAAACCGCTGCCATAACTTTTTTATTTTTGCTTTCTTGTAATCCATCTTTTCAAGGTTAGAGATCTGCTTGTAGATTCTTTTCCACATCCCATGCTACCTTGGTTAAAAGTAAAAAAAAAAAAAAAAAAAAGATCACTGCAGAAAGTTTAAATGTCAATTACAGAATAGTGATTCCACTGAAACATAATTTTAAACAGCTGCCATAACTTTTTTATTTTTGCTTTCTTGTAATCCATCTTTTCAAGGTTAGAGCCAAAGGTTGATTTTGGACCAATGATAAGGCAAACATAATATAGAATATGGACATAAAATAATTGGTGAACTGTGGAGTAATTAATACATTTCCTAAAATTTAACCATTTTAAAACATACAGCACTATAGAGAATGAATATATTATTTCAATACCTCAGTTAATGTAACTATGTCTCTCAAATTTAAATAACTTAGTTTAGATAGTGACCAATAAAGAGACCAGTGAGTCAAGTTCAACTTCTGATAACCACATGAACATATCCCCACGGTTTTGTTGGAATCAGCACCCAAATGGTTTTCCACCACCTTTTTCTGGAATGTTGTTAAATGTCCTATTCTACAGCCCTGGTATTCCTACATGAGTAACTACATTAATATAGTGTTAATTATATAATAATAATTCCCTAGTTTTAATATCTTTAGTACAATTTAGTTATTATTAAACGTTTTTCAGCTGTAAGTTTTCACTGTAATAAGTTTTTACAGTATTTAATAATTTTAAACAGCTGCCATAACTTTTTTATTTTTGCTTTCTTGTAATCCATCTTTTCAAGGTTTATAGACGTTTCAATTTTAAATAATGTTAACTGTATATTTATTTATTGTTTTAATATGTTGTAAGCTGCCCAGAGTCCCCCATTGGGGGGAGATGGGCAGGGACAAGTTTAATAAATAAATAAATTTACAGCTTTTATTCATAATATTGTATGGATGGTTTGGTGCATATTTAAGTAAGAAATAATCTAGTATGGAAAACATTTCCGGGATTATCTATAGTAGAACTTCTCAGACTCTGAAACTCCCATCAAAAGAGGCCATGCAAATTCTAATTTTAATATCTTTTCTCAGAAGGTGAAGCTGTTCATATTCAGAGAAGTTTTTGAATTTCAAAATTTCAGTAAAACTGAAATGAATTTTAACTGGGAGTATACCTATTTTAGCTTTTTAATTTTATTGATGTACTTTTGATCGATTTTGTTTTAACATTTTGATTATACAATTGTATTTTATCTTACACAGTGTTATTATAAGTTCAAGTACCTTTGGCATTGGGAAGTCAGATATACATTGAATATATGAAATATATATGTTTAGAAAAAAAATCCCCAAACTATTCAATCTTATGTTGGTCTGTTTAAAAGCTTTCTTTCTCTTTGTGTCTATGAAACATACATTCAGAGATACAAACAGAGCAGCCTATTTTCATGATTTTTTTCATACTGATATCTGAAAATTATGATTTTAAAACTTGATTCAGTAGAGTAAAACAATTCCATACAATTAATTATATCTTATAAGTTCAAGGAACTGAATGTCTGTAACTGTTAGCTCTAATAGATACACTGGTATGATCCAGAGCCTACTGATATTGATTACTTCCAATACAAGCAGTACCAAGTCCTGTACCAGCAGACACCTTCTTGTGTATGCATCATGCAGAAGGAATGCTCAATGACCACATTACACATCTTCAATTATCAAGACTACTACGCTGTAACATATTTGCATAAGGTCAAATGGGACTTACTTCTGAACAAACATATACAGGATTGGATTGCAAAGCAAATATGCTGCTACAGACACCGTTAAAGGAATTATCTTCAGGGGGAAATTGTACTTTTGAAAGCCAGAAAAGATCAAATTAGCATCAGAAAGCTAGGATGGGACATGAAGCTATCCCACAGATCAGTCTGCCAAGTGAGATAAGGATGCATTACTACGAAAGAGCAAGTATTTATAAAGAATCGTTCCTAATAACTTCTACAATCAAGTTAGACAGTGATAAAACCAAACTAATACTGCATCTTTTCTTATCAGGTACAAATAGAAAGCATGGTAAGAAATGGATGCAATTCAAACAACATTTGTCCTATTTACTCCAAAGGTTATATGGAAATAAGGCCCACAGGTTCCATACTTTGTAGATACTTTTTAAAATATAGTTATAGTCACTCAGACTATAAATAACCCCCTGACCAAATTGCTACTTATCTGGGGGAATTTGATTCATATGGATTTAAACAATCCAACCCTATAACTCTACGAACAGGCAGTGACTGCAATAGCATAAGCAATGGCTTACCGCACAGGCACCCACAGGACCTTGCAGCTTCTGCCAAATTGACAACGACAGTACTGCACTCCACCCTTTCCATATGTGCATGGGATATCACAACACATGCACGAAAACAGCAGGGCTTGCACTGAGAAGGTGCAATGCTGCTTTTCTCATTCTGCCCTCCTTGCCCCACTGCTGTGGAAGCTGCCGGCTTATATAAATATTACAACTAACTGATCTTGGCAAGTGAAAGGAAGTTCTCAGACAATCTTCTGCCAGGAGAGCCTTTAATTCCTTGTAGATGAAAGGGAAGCAAAGAGTGTGTGATGTTGGCCCTTGTCTGACTCCAGCAAGTTCCACCGTGTGATGCTGCTGCTGCTCAGCGACCTTTGGCAGCCTAGCATGCGTTTGAGCTGTTGCGAGTTTTTAGAAGAAAAAAATGAAGTGATAACAGGAACAACTGGCCACAGGAACTAAAATATGTCACCACAGGAAAACTGAGCTTCAGTGTCTTAGCCACAACAAATTCCTTCCAACATACCATTCAATTTGGGGAACCTCAGCAGTTGTTACTCACATTATCCATGGGCAGCACAGTACACATAATCATGGGAATGGAAAATGGGAAAGGAAAAGCCCTGAATTATTTACCAAATACCTTTGCCCCTATAAATAAAATGTACAAACAAAATTTTGGCACAGGATCTAAGAATAGTGCAAAGAGACCAAACCAAACCAAACCAAACCCCAGAATGTTTAACTGCTCTGGGATCATAACCTAGGCAGAGTGATATCAAGCCATTATACACAGGTCAAATGCAGATATGATATGCACTTAGGGAAGTTAAGGGAATAGGGGTGCGCTGTCAGATGATGAATGCCATAAAAATCATACCCAATTGGAGGTTATGGTGGTAGTGGTGATGGTGGGGAGCTTGGTTTCTTTTCTTTATTAAGAATAAACTAAATACAGTAAATGAAATTGAATAGCCCATTCTTCATTTTTACACTTTATTTATATTTACATCTGCAGTGACCCAAGATTGGCATGGAAAATTATCCAGTCACTGGAAGCAAATATGTTTTCTATAAATATTTGGAATCAGCACAGATACATGCTATCGACATGTCTGTATTAAACTGATTCAGTGCCCCCCAACTTTTTGAGCCAGTAGGCACCTTTGAAATTTTGACAGCATATCATGTATGCCAAAAGAAAGTGGCTGCCATGGGAGTCTTTGCCCAATCACCAAGCGGCATGCCCCGCATACACCCCACAGAATACAGACCTTTAACCCCCAGCTTATCCTTATCTTTTTTTTTCCTCAGCAGAGAGGTCATAATCTGCAAAGCTAAAGCTGAAGGGCTCTTTATTGTCTAAAAACATCTAAGGGATTTATATACAATCCAACCATATTCTTGGCAAAGCAGATTATTCTAGAGGTTGGTACTTTGCTTTGTAGCCTGGTTACTTTCTTTTTGTTTAAAATTAAAACTATATTTTAAATATTTAAAAAGTAGAAGAGGATGGGGGCTTGGCAGGCAATAAGGGCAGTGTCTGTAAGGACACTGGGATTCCCAGGAATCCTGCTGGCGATTGCAGTACTTGTTCTTACCTAGATATACTATATACCAAGCGTGAATCAGGGTTAGTTCTTCTAATTGTGATTTCAATCCTATCTGTATTTACTTGGAAGAGTGAGATTTATTTCTAAATCATACATATACATATATAAAATTATCACATCTGTTACCAATGTATCTATTAACAAGCTATGATTTTAAAAAGACAAGAAATATACCAGCCACATAATGTGATTTCTTACCGTGGGACTGTTTGAACTGGTTCAATAACTACTTCTTCTAAAAAAAGAAATAGAAAACTGTAGTTCATTTGATACAGGGTCAATTTATTAAACACAATTTTTCTCCTAAAAATGGAAAGCATAGAATGATAATGATACATATTTACAATAAATAGTTGTAACACGTGTTTGCTAGATTTTCCTTAACTTCTTTGAGTGAGGGGTGTTTCTGTAGCCTCTAAAAGCAGCTGTCATGTGCCCCCTATTCAAGAAACTTTCATTTGATCTGATTATTTTGGATAATTTTAGATCTGCTGCCAACCTTTCCTTGCTAGGAAATGTTGCAGAGAGAGTAGTGGCCATGCAACTCCAGCAACTAAAGGAAGCAGCTTATTTGAAACCATGGCAATCAAGTTTCAAGCCAGGATACAGCACAAAAACTCAGCTGGTCATGGTTTTGAATGACCTATGGAAAGACTGGGATCAGAAAGTGCAACCCTCCTCCTTCACCTCTCAACAGCTTTCGATACCATCAACCATGGTATCTTTCTGGGCCATTTCCAAGGCACTGGAGAGGGGAGCACGGTCTTGCAGGGATTCTCCTCCTTCTTGAAAGGACGGATCCAGTCAGCAGAGGGGAGAGAGGAAGGTTCTGCTCAGAGACATCAACTGTGGAATGTCTCTCCTCTATTTCTCCTTAACATCTAACATCTTCCTATTTCTCTTTAATTTAAATTTCCCTTTAACATCTGGGGAAATCATCTGTTGTCATGGGGTTCAGATCAATACATCTTGGTCCTGGGCCAAACAGACAACACAGCTGAAGTGCTGACCAGTGCCTGGAGGCTGTCAGGGTCTGGATGGGGAGGAACAGATTCAGACTGAATCCCTCCAAGACAGAGTGACCTTGGATTTGTGGGCCTAGTGACTAGAGAAATATCATCTTTGACCCTGAAAAGAGCTGTACTCTCCCACTCAGAGGTGGTCTGCAATTTTGCCATCTTGCCAGAGTCACAGTTTCTGCTCGATAAGCAAATGCACAGTTCCATCTTGTGCACCAATTGCAACCATTTCTGGATCTGAAGGTCTTGTTCACAGTCAAGGCCTAGTCACATCCTGGGTGGATTACTGCAATCTGCTGTACGTGGGCTGCCCCTGAAAAACATTTGGAAGCTACAGCTGGTACAGAATGTGGTGGCCTAGGCAGTGATGGGTGTATCTTGGTAAACCCAGATCACCCGGCTGCTTTGAGAGATGCACTGGTGGCCAGTTGGCTTCCAGGTGCAATTCAAGATGGTGATTGCCAGCTTTAAGGTTCTGCATGGCTCTGGATTTGGTTATCTAAGGGGCTTCTCCCTCTCACATCCGTCTGCCCATCCAATCTGATTGAATAGGGTCAACTCCCTCCAAGTTCCGTCTCTCTGAGCCTGCCATCTGATGGGGCCTTGGAAGTTTTTTGATAGCTTTTTCGATAGCTCCTCTTATACTTAGGAACTCCCTCCCTGCAGAGATTTAGTCAGCTCCATCCTTTCTAGGCTTTATCAAAGCTATCAAGACCTATCCTGTCTAGCACAGGAGGAGGGTATGTTATGATGGAAGATGGTGTCTGCGAACACAACTTTGGTATTTTCTGATTCTTAATTTTTTATTTTGATGTTGTATATATATTAGGGTTAGTTTTTCTTTCTTGGTAGGTATTATTTCATTTTATGATGAGATTATTAACTGCCTAAAGCCTTTGGGACTAGGCAGCATACAAATGAAATAAATAAGTAAGTAAATCCAGCTTTACTGTACTTCTTGATCATATATAAAATCAGCTATGTCTACAGAACTAAGAGCCTTTCTTTACAGTATTAAAATGCTTTTATCTACCCATCCTTACATCAGAACACAATAACACTAGCATAAAATGCACCGACCCTATTGGCAATCCCTATCCTTCCTTTATTGCTTCTGTTCCAGGTCTGGCTCAATGGTGTTGTCCTGACTGGTCAGTGGGACATTCATCATAAGCAATTCACTTGGTTTTCTCCTCTAGTTCTGCTGCCTTTCCTTTTCAACTAGCAGGAATTGCATCTACCTGTCAGGATTATGCATTACTACTGGAAAGTTGATTTCAGAACTCTGTCTGGGCTTCTCTAGGCTGGTTTGTTTGCCTTTCTGCAGCCTCCATTTGGGCATCTCCCAAGTTTTTTTTTTTTAATGAGAAATAAAGAAATCTACAGGGGCAGAAACAGCTCTAGGAAAGCAGATACTACCACCATAGTGCAGCTAACTGGGTCCTGTAGAGCAGGATAACTGAAACTGATCAATTGCTGGGCAACCTCTTTTTTACTTCACGGAAGAGGTGGGAAAATGGTTGAAACTAACAAATATAGGGAAACTGGCACAGAAATAACAAAAACCCAGGTCAACATCCCTAATTTTCTGAACACTGAAATGAGGAAAAATGGGACTGCTGCATTTAAAGGTAAAAACACATTTTAGAAATCTATAAAGCAGAATAACAAAAAAATCTTTTTTCTGAATAAAATAGTAGAGCTCTCTCTTCGTTAGAAGTCTGGACAGTATTTGGTATCAATAATAGGAAGAGGGGGTGGGGAGGTGACAGGTATAAAAAGAAACTTAAGAAAGTGCTTATGGTCAGGGCAAATGCTCAGACAGAAATGGCTGACTACTGTAGTGTTCAGAAGGGAGGGAGCAGGTGTGCCTGCTCCTCTTAACACTCCCCAAACATGCCTCTGTTCACACTGATAACAAGTCAGGTGATCTTACCACAAAGATGACTATGACAAAGCATTACAGCTTTTTCACACCTTGAAGCTATAGTGGGATAGCGTTTAAACAGAAAAAGACTTCTTTAATCTAGTCTACTTAACAATGACTTAAACTTGATTTGTCAAGAGCTGTGGACAAGATGAGGGTATGTCATGAAGACAAGGGAAAAAAGTGGTGCTGTCAGGGCATGATTCTTAAAATGTTAGTGGGGACAGGAGCCCATGGGTTTTAATTATGATATCATAAATTATTTACCTTCTGGACCAAACACATGCAATCTTCCATTATGTCTATTCTTCTGTTCCTGTAATAAAGACAAAGTAAGAATTGGTATTTTTTTTGGTCTTAAAATTCTTCACCATAAGCACTCTTACTAGAATAAGCTTACCAAAAAGATGACAACACAGTACAGAATGTGATTTTTTTCAATTACAGTTATGTATACTCAATGGATTAAAACTGGTGTTTCTCATTAATATTAAATCTCAAATACACATTCCTTTTAAAGATAAACTTATAGCAAAATGCAGAGAAATATTTTTACCTTCATTGCATCTGTCCTTCCTAAGCCATTATGCCTAGTATAAGATAAAATAATTTATGTAATGAGTATATGCAGAAGGGCATACTGAAATGCAAATAATGCTTCAAAATAAACTTGCACCCCAAAACAACTCTCTTGTTTCCTGGGGACCACTAAAACTTGAAGTGGTACATACATCATGCTACAATATAGTTTGCTTAAACATTTTTTAAAAATCATAATTGTCACAGTTCAAGCAATTCACCTTGTTATAAACCATAGTTCATAAACCACAAAACTAGGTTAATAGAACACATCATGCCAAAAAACATTCCAAGCAATTACATTATGGCCTAGCATATATACAAATGGAGAAAGCCAGTTTGGGGTAGTGGTTAAATCACCAGAATAGAAACCAGGAGACCGTGAGTTCTAGTCCTGTCTTAGGCACAAAGCCATCTGAGTGACCTTGGGCCAGTCACTCTCTCTCAGCCCTAGGAAGGAGGCAGTGTCAATCCACTTTTGAAATCTTGACAAGAAAACTGCAGGAACTTGTCCAGGCAGTTGCCAGGAGTCAAGACTGACTCGAAGGCACAATATAATAATATACAAGCGGAAGGTGTTTTGGTGATGTTCAGCATGGGTGCTATATCACTCAGAAGAAACATTGACAGCAATCCTTATGTAAGCAGCACTCTCACAATATTCCTGACAAACAAAGAAACTACCACACAGCATGTATGCACCAGAAAATTTCTATCTGCTACTTATCACAGTATTCAGTCACTGCTAAGTGACAAAATGTGCATTAGTAATCAGCCTGGAGATCTGCTAAGCTATTAGACTGCTCCTGCAAGAACAGGGATGCTCTCTGGTTTAATATTCCATCTCAAAACTACCACGTACACTTTAGTTAGTGAAATGATTATAGGTCCAAGTGCAAAATTATTTGGTGACTCTGTTATTGTCAACACGGACCATTAACTCAGCATGTCCTTCCTGTCCTTTCCATGGAATTTTTATCTTAGGATTACTGTATCACACTGGATCTCTCCATTCTCTCCATCCCATCTATTTATGTAAAGCAGTTCTAATGTGTGACCAGCCTCTTGTGTCTGGCCTCTGATGAATTCCCAGCTACCTGATTCCATTCCCAGGGCATGGTGAAGCCACTCAGCATCACAAGTCCGTGGGCCTCCACCACCAACCCAGTCATGAGGTCAAACAGATTGGGCAGGGATGCTGCTCTGTAGCAGGAAAGGTGGTGCAGCAGCAGCAGCAGCAGCTTGCCCTTACAGCACAACTTCAGAAACAAAGCCTAATATCCAGTTATCTGCAGAATAGTGTCTCTGGTTGCCAAAAGAGTCTCCCACATCTCAATTGCCACCCCCACCGTTGCCAAGCCTAAGTCACAGCTGGGCACATTTCAAATACCCACCTCCTTGTTCATTCAGGACTCAGTCATTCATACTAAGTCAAAGGTCCTAAACTGTTTACAGCTTTAGAAGTCAGAACCAACACTTAAATCTGCCCACCAGGCTACTAGCAGCTAGCACGGATCTTTCAATACCATCATCTTGTGACCCCTATATCTTGTACCCATTTGTAGTCTAGCCATAGCATTTTGCATCAATTGCAATTTCTAGACATTTTTCAAGGATAAGCCCCACATAAAGTACATTGCAGTAGGCAAGACAGGATGTAGCCAAGGGAAGAAACTCTAAACCTGAATAGATCAGGAAAGGATGTAACTGACACACTAGCTGCATTTCTGCAAATACATTCCTTGCCACAGTCACCACCTGTGAATCTAGCAACAGCAGAGCTTCGTAAGAGATTCTCCCTTATCCAGGCCATTATTTAAATTAGGCAACATTATTTGATTGCTTCTTTGAAATTAGGTGGCAGGAATCAGTGGACCTGGATATCATCAGCATACAGATGACTCCCCATTCCAAAGCTCCGAGTGACTTTCCCTAGTGGTTTCAGGTACATTTTAAAGAGTATGGGGACACAACAGGCCAGTAGCCTAAGTACTGAATTGTAGTTTCCCAGAACAATCTTCTGGACATGTTCAAAGAACAGTGACTGAAACCACTGCAAACACAGAACTTGGCAAAGAGCTGCCCCCAGGCGCAAGCCCACCTGACAACCCAGAAGGACACAATGGTTAGACCACCAAAATATCCATTAAGTTCTATTCTAGCTTCTAGTAGTGGTCATCCACCAAAGGTGACCAAAGTAATCTAAATATCATATGCCAGTTGAAACTCAGATTGTCTTGTCTGAGATAATCAATATCATCTAAAATCATCTGGTACTGAAAAGCAAACACCTTTTCAATCACCTTATTCAGAAATATAATATTTGAGACTGGCCTATATTACAAAGATCTCCTGGCTCAAGGGAAGACTTTAAAAAAATTCTTATCACAATCTCTTTTAAACAGGCAGGAACACATCCCATCTTCAAGAAGGCACTAATCACCTCCCTTAATTGTCTGGGACAATCTCATCCTGGAAGATTTGATCAATCAAAATGGACAAGGGTTGAGCAATTAGATGGTGACTCTGATGTCTCTGCTTCATCAAGATATATAGATTGAAAAGAATTCATGTGAAACAAGTAGTTGCAATGTTATCTCCCTGTGACTTGTTCCAACACTGATGCCCAAATTGATGCAAATTTGATCAACTTTCTCTACAAAGAAAGAAATGAAAATTGCTCACAGCAAGCCTCTGACTATTTTGGTTCCCCTCCTCCAACATCTTGATGAAAGAAATTCCACAAACCATAGAAAAGCACTGCCGGCCTGTTTTGTGCAGATGCAGTGGAGGTGGGGTAGTGAGCACTCCTTGCTGCTCTTCTGCCAAAGAGTAGGGTTTCAAATGGCCTTTACTCCATATTCAATCTGATCTGTCCTGAGAAGTCAACATGCATGCTGGTCCATGTGTAGTGACAGATGTCAACTGATGGAGCCACTCCTAATGGGGCAACCTCAATGTGGATGCACAAGCCCCCCAAGACAGGAAGTTAAGGGTAATCTAATGCCACATTAGTGATCATTCTGATTAGCTCAGGGAGAAAAACTGTTGTGCAGTAGACTAAATGGTACACCATTACCCATATATTATACTGACCATTTAAATGTAGCAGCAAATACTCTCAAACTACTAGATAGAGCTTCTGGTCAGAAGACAGAATTCCTATTCTGTAGACTATGGACACCCCCCCTCCTGGCTCTCTCTCTTTATTCTGCTATATCACAAAGCAGCCTGGCAGGCAGAGCTGGGAGAGATTAACTCCCTCCTCTTCTTTTGGCCAGATCTCCATAATGGCAAGGCAGTGCTTTCATCAGGATGAAGTCCTAGACAACAGATGTTTCCCCAATGCCTGACTTGGCATTTTAAAGCAGAACTTTTAATTTGGAAGGTCCACCTTTCCAATCATCTTGAATTCCTTGGTTATACTGTGGTCTGAAAAAAAGGGAGGCCAAACAGCAGCCTGTTTTCTCTGCAATAGCTAGGTTGTAGCCGTCAATCATATCTCCTCCTGCTGGCTATTACTCCAGTATTTACTTGCAGGGCATACTCCATTCCCCATTCTCATCCGTATCTCCCTGACCAATCTCATAAAAACAAGCAGCAGTAAAATCAACAGATTAAAACAAACCCTCCCGTTACAGCTCCTTCCTTCCCCATGCCCATAAGTGAAAACAAGCAAAATGTCCTTTCCCCTAGGTCATCCCTCGCCACACTAGGGCAGCTTTTCTTCTACACTCAGGGAACTGAACTGATGAAATCTCTTACAAAGATGCTACAGCTGGGGCAGAAATTCAGAGAGCCTGGACTGAGCACTGAGCACTGAGAAGTCTGCTTCCAGAGCAGCAGGGGTGTGGATGAAAAGATCAACAGATAACTAGGTGGGAAAGCATCTGCTCTCCTTTTCATACAGTCTATCTGGCAACCTTTGCTTCTGCAGCCTCTTTCATGGTAGGTGCTGGTATTAAGGAAACTCCCACAGTTAAGTCATCTAGCATTTATAGCCTCCCTGAAGCCTTTCTGTCACTTTGATTAGCTATGATATCTGACTGTACACTCACTGCCTATGTTTACATTACTACCATCTGGACAATCAGAAACATTTTCACCTTCATTTCTTAAAAATAATTAATCTTGAACAAGGAATGCACCAGCTCCTATTGCTCTCCACTCCTGAGTCTGTTCTTCACCATTCTGAAGTAAATAAAAGTGGTAGTTCAGGAACTGATTATTACTTTGTTCCTTGGTAACTGTACTGTATTAAGGCTGAAGCAACTAATTTCTATTTTATTCAACCCTTGAATAGTGCTGAGATAAAAGTCTGAGGGATCTGTAGGACCCTCCTCTTTATTTTACCTTGGTGTTCTCTGTAGGACATCATATGCACAGAAGACAAGTTGGAAACCTCAGAATACTCTGCCTGTTGAGGCTTTTCCTCTATTCACTTAATTCAGGTCAGTCATTTAGATTATTAATTCAGACTATTAGCTCCCCCCTTCAAAACAACAGTTTTAGTCTTTTAAGAAGTTATGCAGGTTTATTCAGTTACATCAAACTTATTTCATGGTGGTTTATTCAAGCAAAAATTGGAGCTCTACTGTATTTTTTTCAATGTAATAATTACTCATGTTCACTACACAATATTTCTCTGTTCTAATTACCATGATTTGATATGGGGGAGTCTGCTTTCAATCACATCTTAGAAGCTCATTACAAATTACATATAAATGTGTGTAACAAACTTTAAACAGCATCTGTATCCATGATTACAAAATCCTATCCTGGAGAATACTGCATGCAGTTGTGATTTCATTCATTAGAATATGTTTCCTTTAATAAGTAAGTAAAACATTTCAATTTGACTCTTACTGACCTTTTCAAAAAACAAAACAAAACAAAACTTGGTACATCAGCTAAAATTATATTTAGCTCTGTTAATATAACAAGCACCTATTTTTCCCTGACATACCACAAGACCTATTTTTCACCTATGAATGGAGAAAGATCCTGATAACTCCCAGAGTATATACTTTCAAAAATTAAGGATAATCCTAGAGGCCAAATGGATAATTCTATATGCATTCCAAAATTATTACAGCATCTACTCAGTCAAATTTGAATGTCTAATTCTGTACTACTTTCATTTTCAGTTTTAAGGCTGTACATACAATTGCCAGTAATTAATTTCAACCAGCTCTTCCTTTCCTCAGGATGAGGCAGAATTTCCAGAGAACTCAAAAACTTGAACACTGTTTTGCAATATTTTGATTGGTCTAATGAGACATTGCTCTAACTGAAAACTTTTCCTACATCTAAAACAAGTACTTTTTTGTTCCTTAATTTCTAAGAAAAACAGCTTTGGAACAAAGCAATCAGATGAAAATAGAAAGGGGGAGGGGATGAAGCACTTCCTCCAGTTTTTTTTTTTTTTTACCAAAGCTGCATTTCCCTTTGAAAAGTTTTGTGGAAGGAAGAGAGGAGAGGCTGATACAACATCTGTGTGCAATGTACAGTTAGGTTCTTTGTCTACAGCTATTCTTCCATATAAGTCCCATTTATTCAGATTTAATTCCAAATAGTGATCATTAGTTAAAGATTGTTAGGGTTTTATCAGGAAGCAAAACCTGAGGAGACCAAAAGATCATCTATTCTCAGAATGCCTAAACTTCCCCAGAGCAAAAATCTCTTTTTTCCTTACCTTGACAAAGGCAAACGAGTTTCTAAGACAAATCCATCTTTAAAAAAAACAGAAAAAGATCATGTATATTGAGTCAATGCCTTCAAACTTCCCTTGTTTTAGTGTACAAAGGTCAATAAAACACAATAAAAGATTGATACAGTTTTCAAGATACATATATATATATATATATTTCTATATATTTCTATATATAGAAAAAAATAATAATGTAATAAATGTAATTGGATAAATTGATTCATACAAAATAAGGCAATGACTTGTAAATATTTGAGGACCAGACAGGAATGTTAGGGGCTACCAAATTGGGAGTATAAAAATCAGGATGACCACAAGACGTCAAGAAAGAGTTAGGATTTTCTCTCTCTCTGCTACTGTCTAATGGTTATTTTGATTTTTGCAGTTCAGATACAGTAGGTAGTCTTAGCTACACAGAACTGATACTGATAAATTTAAAGAAAAATTACAAATAAAAATAAACATAACAGACAAAGAACCATGCGCAGTGCCTTCTAGCAATGTTAAGGAATAAGCAAAAAAACTGAAACAAGTAGTGAGGAAGGTCAATGTGAAGTATGCTAGAAATGGGCATTAGGTCAGGAGAATATGTATCATGAGTTCTCTCCTTTGCTATACTTTTCTTCAGAAACTACCTTTATCTGCTTTATAGTCATCTCTGAGTATAAACCTTTTAGCAATAAACAACAAAGTGGAGCACGTTTTGGAACAGTGTGAAAGAAGAAATCTTTTTATTTTCCATCCCTGTAAATCACAAACAAGACTCTAATATTTTATTTATCTATTTATATAAATTATACACACACACACACATACTATACACACACATCCGCACATACAGTACATTCGGAAAGTATTTAGACTCCCTTCACTTTTTTCAATTTTGTTATGTTGCAGCCTGATACTACAATTGTTCTCCCTTCACTTTTTTCAATTTTGTTATGTTGCAGCCTGATACTACAATTGTTCTCCCTTCACTTTTTTCAATTTTGTTATGTTGCAGCCTGATACTACAATTGTTCACATTCATTTTTTTCTCATTAATCTACACTCAGTAACCCATAGTGACAAAGTGAAACCAGAATTTTAGAAAAGTCTGTACATTTATTAAA